GAGAGTCTTTGTGTCTTGGTTCTAGTTCATTGCTCTTTCTAGGTACTTCTCTTTTGGGGATAAAGTCTGAAATTATTAATGTGGCCTAATAAGACCCTACCCCTCTTTCGCCTCTTCTCATGCCGCTCTATGCTCACTCAGCCTTCGCACCATGTTGGCCTTTTCTAAGTTCATCGAAAAACGTTACCTTCTTTCCTGCCTCAGAGCCATAATAATTGATGTGTCTTCTTTTTGGAATGTTCTTTATCAACCTTTCCACATGGATAGCTGTTGAAGCATTACTTCCTTAGAGAAGCTATTCTGATCCTTGTAGTCCTTCAGGCTACATTAAATACCTTTGTTAGACAGCCACCTGACATTCTATATTTTTCTTTCTCAGCACTTATTCTAACTGTAATTCATAGTTACTACCTAAGCATTTATTTAATACCTCCATTAAGGCAGGGACTATTTCTGAGTTGCTTGTTGTTGCACCTCCATTGTTTAGCACAGTGTTTAGTTAATAGTACACATTTAATAAAGATTTGCCATTGAAAATTTCATCTGTACTGGAAATGTGCTTGAAAAGTACCAAGGTTGGTTCATATATCCATTTCTACTTTAAATGATAATGCTGGAATGAGAGCTAGAGAATTCTTATTCTAGCTCCAGTACCAGCTATATGATCTTGGGGGTGCTACTTCTGTTCTCTAGACCTCAGCTTGTCAGTGTAATGAAGAGGTCAGACTAGACTAAATGATCTGTTAAGCCCCTTTCAATTCCAGGTACTAAGTATGTTATTGTTCAGCTTACCAAAATTTTAATGCTGGCTACTTTATTAAAACTGAACTAATAATAAAAGTAGGTTTTTTTTAGCCATAAAATAGTAAAAGCATTTCTTAAAGTGCTCCTATAAAATATGAGTGATTTTATAATTTTGAAAAATATTTAACAAGGCTCATTTTTACATGTATGCACTGCATGTCTTTATATATTTTGGATAAAGAGACAATTCAATATCCCAAACAACCACTGAACATTTTTCAAAATTGAAATGGAAGAACCTATACTTACGAAAACAGTCTTCACCAAAGTATAAATGTTTAAAGGACTTTGGCTAAGCCTGTTATAAGCTTTACTGCATTGTTGATTTTTTAAACCTCAATGTTGTTTGGAAATTAATATTCATTATTATCGTCATTATGACTATGAACTGTGTTCTGAGAATCTTACATGGAATGACTTTTGTAAATGCTTATGTAATAGTTAATCAGAGTTTAACCTTTTTCCTTCCTAAACCATTAGTTTGCAAAGGAGTTTTCTAACTTAAAGCTATTTATTTGAATAACTAGTATTTTATATTCTTTCAGAAAAGGATGCAGTAGCATTTAGGGAAACTTTAAATTTATAAGTAACTAGGCTGAGAAGAAAAATCAGTACTACAATTTGTGTTAGAAAAGTGTAAGATGGGTTAGTGAAGCTAGCAGTTATTGAGGAGCTATCTAGTCAACATTCTAAAAATGACTTCAAGAGAATAACTTCTTGTAAAACAGTATAATTTAATTTGCACTGAATTTATTTTCCTTTTATTTCTTAAAACTCAACACCATGAAATTATTCATTACATTTACAATAAATATAATCGTATACCACTGCTGTTGCCTCATTTATAGAGAGAATATCTCTCCTCCCTAACATCCAGGGATTTTATATATAGCACATTAATTCAGAAAATACTGATTGGTTATCTCTTATTTGCAAGTCACTATTGTTGATGCTAGGCATTCAAAAATAATTAGGTTGGGCTTCCCTGGTGGCGCAGTGGTTGAGAGTCTGCCTGCCAATGCAGGGGACATGGGTTTGCGCCCGGGTCCGGGAAGATCCCACATGCCGTGGAGGGGCGGGCCCCGGGGGCCGTGGCCGCTGAGCCTGTGCACCCGGAGCCTGTGCTCCGCAACGGGAGGGCCACAACAGCAAAGGAGTTTTCTAACTTAAAGCTATTTATTTGAATAACTAGTATTTTATATTCTTTCAGAAAAGGATGCAGTAGCATTTAGGGAAACTTTAAATTTATAAGTAACTAGGCTGAGAAGAAAAATCAGTACTACAATTTGTGTTAGAAAAGTGTAAGATGGGTTAGTGAAGCTAGCAGTTATTGAGGAGCTATCTAGTCAACATTCTAAAAATGACTTCAAGAGAATAACTTCTTGTAAAACAGTATAATTTAATTTGCACTGAATTTATTTTCCTTTTATTTCTTAAAACTCAACACCATGAAATTATTCATTACATTTACAATAAATATAATCGTATACCACTGCTGTTGCCTCATTTATAGAGAGAATATCTCTCCTCCCTAACATCCAGGGATTTTATATATAGCACATTAATTCAGAAAATACTGATTGGTTATCTCTTATTTGCAAGTCACTATTGTTGATGCTAGGCATTCAAAAATAATTAGGTTGGGCTTCCCTGGTGGCGCAGTGGTTGAGAGTCTGCCTGCCAATGCAGGGGACATGGGTTTGCGCCCGGGTCCGGGAAGATCCCACATGCCGTGGAGTGGCTGGGCCCGTGAGCCGTGGCCGCTGAGCCTGTGCACCCGGAGCCTGTGCTCCGCAACGGGAGAGGCCACAACAGTGACGGGCCTGCGTACCGCCAAAAAAAAAATAATAATAATAATTAGGCTGATCATGACTTCAGTAAGCTTACAGTCTATCAAGCATGATAAGACATGTGCATAACTAAACACAAAGTTAAAAAAAGGAATAAGCATTGCAGGAAAGGTGCAAATCAACTGTTAAGGATCTTTATCTTCCATCTCCTCCAGAGCTATATGCTTGTTCCAAGACTTTGAATCCTCCTCAGCTCCTAATACAGAGCCTGGCATATGGAACATATTCAATTAATGTTCGCTTAGAAGATGAGCTATTTGTGAAATTGTTCTGCAAACTTATGCCTATTCAATGAATGGCATTCTTTTCTCCAAGTCAGATCTAAAGTCTTCAATCTGAAAAGCTCTATACTTCTGTCTAAACTAATATATTTTGTTAGGCAGAATGTGAAAATTTTTATTTTCATGAGCACTTTCTATCTCTACATTGGACTCTTAATTTCTTATTTCTATTTCAAGGCTCATTCTACTAAATCTTACCTGATATTCTACTGTCCAGTTTACCCCGGTCTGTGAGTTTTACAGACTGTGGCTATACTTCTTCCTGCCTCTAACATATCAGTAACCAGAAGGCACAAGGAATTCCAAGGAATCAGCAGTTCTAAGGCAGCTTGCCTCTCTTAGGTACAAGCCTTTAGAACGGAATGTAAAATAGATGATTGTCGAAACTTTACAGGGAGCAATGAACGCTATTCTGTTTCTCCAAGGCAACTATGTTGTTCAATTATTCTGAAGGATTTCTGAATTTAGTCAGCCTTTTAAAAAATAGATTTGTGTCCAAAGGTTTGTTTTTCTGCTTTTCTTCACTAATTGAAGTTCCTTGAAGGACTCAAGATTGAGTAAAATTGACTTTCTTCTGATCTTGTGAATCATGAGGTAAAATGAAGGCATAAATGATGTCTAAGGACTCTTGTCTCTCGAAGATTTCCTGACTCTTTAATACTCAATAGTAAGGCATATTGGTCATGATACCAGCCACCATATAGCCAGTACTTTTCCCCTCCATTTAGTGTAGAACTTTTCTTCACTGGCTCAGCATCCACCCCCCACCCCTGCGCCCCACTCCCTTTGAAGACACCCCGCGCCCCACTCCCTTTGAAGGAAACAAGGAAAAAGGAAACAAGATAGTCCTTTCTTTCCCCCGAAGTTCTAGCAGTTTGACTGACTCTTACTTGTGAATTTTTCTTGCCACTGAGTCATTGCACATACAGAATTATGAAACTTTAATTTCTTTAGAGGCTTGTTATATTAGAAAAATTGGTCCAGAGAAAGCAACAGTCATGACATAAGCACATCTGGCTCTTGCAAGTTATTCTTTATTAAGCTTTCATTTAATTACATGTGCTGAAAGGTCTGTAATTTTTTTTATTTGTCCATCTGAATGGTAGTAATGCTGGAAATTACGTACAAACCACCTGTTTTTCCTCCCCTACTAATATGGCAAAGTTTGAGCTATTTTCTCTGTGGTTAATGAACTAGGAAGCTTTCTATTTATTATGATAGAAATATGACTATCAAGGTAGTCATAATCTTGATGGTTTAATTCTTGATGATAAGAAGAAAAGAAGATATTTGAATGGCATTTTCAAGCATGAAATTGTGTTAAAATTGAGGTATCTGAATTCTGGTTAGCCATAGCAGATTAACACATTCATTTATCACCAATTTCACCCCAAAGCTAATAACTCTACAGTTAAGGATTTCACATCCTGTGCTAGGAAAAAGAAGCTTGATTCCCCCCCCCCCCCACAAATCTGGCTATATTCTCTTTTGGATTATGTTATATGCTGCATAGAAATAAGACCCTGAGGAAGGAGGGACTGGCATTGGGCCTCAGGGATCTTGAGGGCAGCACTCTTATCATCCAGAAGGGTCAGCATCCCCAGAGAAGTTTAGTCAGTATTGGATTAGAATGATGTTCTTCCAGAAATCCCTAGGAAAGTTTAGATCAGTTTCTTAGTCCATGAATATTAAAATTACATGAATGGACATACCGACTTTTAAAGAACTTTTATGAAGATTTTAGGTACTAGGAAGAATATTTGAGACCATTTAGTCAAATTCCTTTTTGTGTGACTGAAGACACTGAGTCCTAGAGCAATTCAATCCTTTGTTTAGGGTCATAAACTTATTTCTAGAAGGACCAGGAACAGAATAATGACTCCCATATCATTGCTCTTTCTTTCTGTTATACTGTTTATTCTCTTTCATTTTCCTCTTTAAAAATAGTGAAAGAGAAATTGCAGGGCTGTCAGAGAAACAATTATCTAACAGTACGGTAAGTTGTTTTTGAAACTCCATTTCAGCTGCATTTAAAGAGATGATGTTTGTCTTCCCTCTTTTGCAGCAGCTCTATGCCGCTCAGCTGGCCAGCATGCAGGTGTCACCTGGAGCAAAGATGCCATCAACTCCACAGCCACCAAACACAGCAGGGGCAGTCTCACCTACTGGGATAAAAAATGAAAAGAGAGGGACCAGCCCGGTAACTCAAGTTAAGGTATTTGCTTTGCAGGATTATGGAAACAGTTTGGAAAATAGCTTCACAAGAAAGGTAGTGAACCAGGCTGTGTTGGGAATAAACGGCAGGAAGCAAAACAGCCTAAAGGAACCCCAAAATGCTCCTCTTTATTGTAAATTTCATGATTGAGCACTGAGAAACAGGTGTTTCCCTTCTGATAACAATAGTGCCATATTGTGAGATCTTCACCTATATCTGCACACTTACTTCTCAAGAATTTTTCCCCTTTGGATTCTGGCGTTTATTTTTCAATGTTCATTGGCATGAATGGCCATGGTTTTATTACCAGTCTTTGTCATAGTCTTGTGACACTTCTCTCTAACTTCCTTAAACAGGTGGGGAGCCAACTTACAGTGCTAGAGGAGGAGGATATCAAAACTTTAGATTGACAAAATAGAACCCAGTGCTGGACCTTATATGGTTTGTTGATAAAGCTCTCTCCTTCAAAAATAGTTATAAATGTGGTGGCTCTGAGGAATGAGTGGTGTCATAATGTAATCATGCTTTGATGCCATATATAGCTGTGATAGGATAAACAGGATTGCCCAAGTTATGACTGAAACATTAATAGATCCTTTCCTCACTGATTTTCAGTGTCTTAAAATGGGGTAGCCAGGAGGTGCTTGGTGACAGAGGGGAACTGATGATCCAGTCTAACTTTGTGCTGCAGCTGGTACTTATAGGTTTTTGCGATTGCCTTTGCTTCCTCTATTGAATTAACAAATTCAGACAGCTCAAAGAAACAATTGTTTTGTATCACTGACTTACCTACTTTGCGGGATATGTTAAGCACAGATGTAGTATTGTAATGTGCCCGAAGTACTGCACTTGGAGAAATTTTGCAATTATTTTTAACTCATTACATGGGAAACATCTAAGGCCAACAAAACAGCATTGAAGGCCACAGAATTACTTAAATTGTTTTATTTTCTAAAACTTGCAGATAGGGACTTAGAGATTTCAGGAAAGCCCTTAAAAAATATGGATCCCAAATACCAAAGATAAAAAAAGTAAACATAATTAGGATGGATAGTTCTGCCAGTGCCCACCCAAAGGAATTAATTTAATGCCACCCATGCCTTTAGATTCTCCAAAGAAGTAGATGAACATTTATGCTTTGTTGTTAGAAATATTGAGATATGACAATAGGCGGTTTACATTTAATAAGATAGTATTAACTTATGGAAACAGACTATTTATTTTGTGTTCCAAGAGTTTCTTTTTGTGAATAAGAGAACACTACCACTCAAACCAAGGCACTTTGTTTAATTATAGTTGTTGGAGTATAAGCATATCAAACATCAGTGACTTGAGGTATTGAGTATTAGATACTTTAACATGAAAAAGCCATTTTATAAGTGGGTTGGCCAAATGGAACTGCACCAAACCAAGCCTTTACTGGATGAGTAAAATGTTCCCTGGTTAGATTCAAGTTTATATTTGCTTTTACCATTCCAGTTTTGTGGGCCAACTGAATTTTATTACTCACTTGACCGCATGCAAATTCTTAGGGAGCTCTCTATATAATTTGACTTGACTATACTTTATGTTAATAACAAAGGAGGCATTTATTATACTTATTAGACTGTTTATTGTATGTGTGAGTAAAAATATATAGACCAAGACATAAAGCAAATGTTTTAAATTTTTAAAATAGCTCCTACCTATTATTACAGAAGTTCTGAAAATAATCTTATATTTTGCTAATTGAAAGAATTATGGTCACTAAAATATTTCATGTTTCTCTCTGTAGTCATTCTTTCCCACACGACTGCGTGACATAGGGCATTGTTAGCTGAAGGTAACAAAAATAAAAATAGATGGTCTTCCTTTCCTTTTTTCCCCCAGAATTTTTATTTGCTATAATTGTCAACATCAGGAGTAAGGATGTTTCTGTTCAAATGTCAGTTCTGTCACTTTTACTAGAGCTTCCCATGCTCAGTGGCATTGTTGGTGGAAATGGCAATTATTGAATTATAAGAATAAATAATAATATAGATAATAAATAAATAATAAATAATATATTAGAATATACAGTCATACCTTTTTTATTTATTTATATTTTATAAATTTATTTATTTTAATTTTTGGCTGCGTTGGGTCTTTGTTGCTGTGTGTGGGCTTTCTCTAGTTGTGGAGAGTGGGGGCTACTCTTCAATGCAGTGCACAGGCTTCTCATTGCAGTGGCTTCTCTTGTTGCGGAGCACGGGCTCTAGGCACGTGGGCTTCAGTAGTTGTGGTGCGCGGGCTCAGTAGTCATGGCTCGTGGGCTCTAGAGTGCAGGCTCAGTAGTTGTGGTGCACAGGCTTAGTTGCTCCGCGGCATGTGGGATCTTCCCGGACCAGGGCTCGAACCCGTGTCCCCTGCGCTGGCAGGCAGATTCTTAACCACTGCGCCACCAGGGAAGTCCCATAACCTTTTTCATTGAGCTTCATTTTATTGTGCTTCACAGCTATTGCACTTTTTACAAATTGAATGTTTGTGGCAACCCTGTATAGTCAGATGATGGTTAACATTTTTTTAGCAATAAAGTATTTTTTAATTAAGGTATATATGTTGTTTTTTTAGGCATAATGCTATTGCACACTTAATAGACTACAGTAGTGTATAAACGTAAGTTTTATATGGACTGGGAAACCAAAAATTCATGTGACTAGCTTTATTGTGATATTTGATTTACTGCAGTGGTCTGGAACCAAACCCATAATATATCTGAAGTTTGCCTATATTCAAAACTGAGTAAAACCAGGTGTTATAAACTCCATATATTCAAGAATGTAGAGGAAAACATGAACATTATAGGACAAGACATGGAAAACTTATATTGAATGTCTGGAGATGAAAAATACAGTGTTTGAGATGAAAAGTACTCTGGATTAGTACTGATTTGGAATAGCAACAGATTAGATATTATAGAAGAAAAGACTAGTGAACTTGATGACATAACAATGAAACTGTCCAAAATGAAATACATAGTAAAAAGACTATCAGTGCTGTGGAACATCAAATGGCCTCATATATGCAACTGGAGCCCCAGGAGGAGAAGGAAGGGACAGAAAAATATATTTGAAGAAGTAATGGCTGAAAATTTTCCAAATTTGAGGAAAACTCTGAACTCAGGTACCTTATGAAGCTTGGTAAACCCCAAGTAAAAGAAATGTGGAGAAAGCTAACTAAATACCTAGTTTATAAATCACTATTATTTAGATAGGAGTAAAGGAACTAACTAGTCTAATATCCTTTGAGTTCAGAGCAAAGGCAAGTAAATTGTAATTAAGCATATCAGATAATTTCGACATTTGTAATGGATACAACTATGTTTCCTGAGAACCTATCTTATGTCTGGATAGAGATAAAAGTGCATTGCACCATAGTTGTGCCAGATTACTTATTTCCTACCAAGACAAACAAACAAACAAAACAACAGAATAAAGCTAGGGTATCCCTACATTACCAAGTGACTTATTTTAGCTGATAGTTTAGTAGAAAAAGGCCCTGGGATTTGGAGCCCAATAAACTATAATTCAAATTTTGTCCCTCCATGTATGACTTTGGACAGTCATTTTATCTCTCTGACTGCTTCTTCCTTTGTAAATTTAGAATACTACTGCCCAGCCTCATAGAGTTATTGGTAGTTAAATGAGCTAATATTTGTGAAAATGTCTAGCACGGTGTTAGTACATAAAGGCTCCTCTGTGCATGTTATTTTCGTTTTCTCTCTCTAATCCTCCTTCCTGAGTACTGTTTTCTGGCATCCCTTTTTGTTCCCTCTTAAACAGTGACCATTAGTACTGGAAGAGACCTTAGAGATCAGCTAGAATCAGACCCTTTTTTCTGTAGATGAAGATATCGAGCCCAGAGAGGTCACATGTTTGCCACAGGGGAGAAAGTTCAGTTTCCAAGCTCTACTGTGTGTTTTAAACAATAACATTAAAAGCAAGTTCCCTGTGTCTTCTCAGAAGCAAAACAGGAGTTAACATTTGCTGACAATTTTATTTTGAACACAATAATGCAGATCTTAAAACTGAACATTTAAATGAATATGCTCATATTACAATTAAATTTCTAGAATGACGGAAGTGTTGTTAAGGGTGTTTTATGGCAGGATAAATGAAACAAAATAAAGGTGAGGAGCTTAGCTTTCAAGCTCCTGCTAAAACCAGAGTTACAAGCCAGGTATTTGAATACTGTGCTCAGTATAGAAAAACAGGCATCTTAAAATAGACATTCTGTAAATATATGTAGCAAAGAATATAAAGAGACATCACTTTAGACATGAAAAATAAATTGTATATAGCATGGTATGTAAAACATAATTATAATGTGTGCTTGCTCTTTGCAAAAATTAATTTTAAACATAAATAGAGACCAGAATATAGACCATGAAGAGTGCCCACACCCAGGAAGCCACATAGAAGCCATGCTGTGGCATGCGGCTCCCTGGGCAAAGGCCCAGAAGAGCAGAGGAAGACTTTGTGTTTCCAGTTTTAAAGTACTTGCTATTGTTTGATTTAAAATATATATTAAAAAATTAGTGGCAGAGCCTATTTATAGTTCCAGGAACTTTTCAGAGAGAATAACACAAAAGCACTACAGAGCTGCTGAAATTTTAAATAATTCTTTGTGAATGCCCTAGGTTAATTTAGATCCCTGAAAACACATTAGGAAATGAAGCTGTAATGTGAGCTAATTCAGATTTTAATTTAGCAAAAAGAATGATCCAGCTACACAGTTAATGTAAACAGAAACATAACACAGGGAAATTAATGAGGTTTCCTTCTGATGAATCTTCAAGGAGGTAGATCATTAGCTTCTTTTGTTATTATTGTAGGAGAATGTGGCATTGTCTCTGAGGTATAAAATAACTGTGGCTTACTAAGTGATAATGTACTTCATTAAAAAAAAAATAATTATTTATGGTAAACTTGTAGGATGAAGCAGCAGCACAGCCGCTGAATCTCTCATCCCGGCCCAAGACAGCTGAGCCTGTAAAGTCTCCAACATCTCCCACCCAAAGCCTCTTTCCAGCCAGCAAAACCAGCCCTGTCAATCTGCCTAACAAAAGCAGCATCCCCAGCCCCATTGGAGGAAGCTTGGGAAGAGGATCCTCTTTAGGTAAATGGAAAGGTCAACACCAGGAAGAGACTTATGAATTAGGTAAAAGAAAGCAAAACATGTTTACTGATGACTGATTCTTGTTTCCAAAGTGTTCCTTAGTCCAAGAAAAAAAAAGTGAAAGTGAAAGTAAAATCTTTTCTACTGAAACATAACCCAGTTATAGTGTCTTGGGTGACTAGAACTTTTAGAAAAGGTTATAATATAAATCCTGCTGGGATGGGTTCTTCAGATGATGATGAGTTAGATCCAACACTCACAGACTTAGAAATTTCTGTGTTTGGTCAGTGCTTTGCCGCTGAAGCAACTCTAGGCAGATTAAGAGTGAACATGAACCCTCCAAGGGCCTAAAGGAACCTGGCCTAAAAGCTGCCTGCCAAAAGTCCAAAATTTATTTGACATTTTATATTTTCTTTGTAAAATGTTTGTGAATTTTACATCTTATCCCATATCAGTTTTGCATTGAAGCAAACATGAATGACACACTTTATTGCCATCATATGAAATAAAGTTAATGTCTAGTAAGATATGTCATAGTGATCCTCTGCCTCCTTACATTCTCTGATGTATTGCCAGGTATCTCTAGGGATATTCATACCCAGGTATGAGAAATATAGAGAAAAAAATGGGATTTGGCATCAGGCAGACTTGGACTGAGAGAGCCTTTACTTACTAGCTATGTGACCCTGTGAAAATTATTTAATATTTTTGAACTCAGTTTCCTAATCTCTGGAAGGGAAATATTACCTAGCTCATAGGTTGTTATGAGAATTAAAAGAGAAAAAAATATAAAGTGCCTAACATGGTATCTGGCACCCAGAAGGCATGCAATTTAAAAAGACTGGACAACCGAATAGCAACACATTTACATATACATGTGGAATGAAACAGTAATTGTGAAAGCACGAAAGCATGTAGTAGCAGAGAGCCAAATAAATATGAACATTATTGTTGCTATGCTCTATAAGTCTCTTAATTTTCAAATAAAGACACAAAATTTCAAAGGGATTAGGGACTAGAACTAGCATTTCTTCACCATATTACCTTCCTTGTGTTGTTGAATCCTATAGCCTGAATTGCTTCCTGTAATAAATAAAATAATGTGTAAGTGTAGCCATTTACAATTTAAAAAACCATTTTGCCTATCTTATCTCATTTGATTTTACACAATAATCCAATGAGTTAGGTAGTATATTATTATTACTCTCATTGTATAATAAATTGTGGTCTTAACAGTTAAAACGACTTGCCCACAGCCATGCAGGTATTAATTAGCAGAGTCAAAACTAGAATCCAGGTCCTCTGACATATAACTCAGTGCTCTTTTTATAAACTCACAGTTAGAATATATGCTGAGCTATGCTGAATCTAAGTGAATCTTCTGATGCTGAGATGTAAATCTTCCTCATTGAAACTGGGGACATTAGGATACATACAGCAGCCTATTCTCTTTTTGAGTTAGGATGCCTCTTTCAGGGGCCCAGAGGTTTTCGCTCCAAGTCAGTGGGATTGCTGTGGGAAAGAGAAATGAATCATTTCCAGCATGTGAATATGATTGCTGAATTGTTGAAAGTCGTGAGATGAGGGGAAAAAAAAGCCAACATGAGGATAAATAATAGGCTTGATCTTGAAATGGCCCTCCTATAATCCACTTCTGAATTTTGTTTGGAAAGCATTTGTCTCCTGTACTGAGCATTGTGAGGGACAAAGATGACTGTTTCACAGGCCCTGCTCTTATGGAGTTTATACCTCAGCAGAACGTATTCTTTAGATCGTGAGCTAGAAATGAGCTGAAGTAATAGCACTCTTGTCCAGACAATACTGGATAGAATTTTTTTTTTAATCAGAAAAGCTTCAGAGCAAAAGATATGGGTTTTCTATATCCTAAAAAGTGGCTGTTTAACTTTCTAGAACTTTTCCATAGGTAGTGTTGGTGATATTTTCTAAACTCAAGTACATACACACATGCACTGCACACACATAGACGTGTGATGTGAGCTTGATTGTAGTCTGATTTCCTCTGTCCCTTCTGTCTCTGTGAGGTGTGTGCACACACACACAGATACACACACACACACACACACACACACACACACATGCATGTGCTATGAAATGCTCATACTAGGATACATGCAAGCTGATCACATTAAACTTTATCACAGCAGCTGAAATCTGTCAGTCAGCAAGCAATTGCCTTCTTTTTGCCTAAAATTGGAAAGCCTCATCTAAAGTATTAATTTTAACCTACAGTAAAATGCAAGATGTGGAGGAAAATTAGTTTAATTTTGAATTTTGTCCTTCTGTGTTGCATGGAATATAATGAAAGTAAATGTTTTCACTTTATTTGAAGCTGTATACTTATGTGAAATCCATTCCCACACATACAGCCTTACTATCACGAAGACAGGGAACTGAGAACAGTGGGTGTTCGGGTTGCGGGTAGGAAATGGGTTGTCATTCTCTTGGTAAATAACTGAGGCAGCATGATGAGTAGAATGCTTCATTAACCAGCCAGTGATTGGGGAACAGAGAGTGCGGTATGTTCCTTCCCACGCCTTCTCTCCTGCAGTGGACATATGAACACACAGATATCTGCTAAAGGACACATGTAGCCTCACAGATTTTTTTTTGGCTGGGCCAGAAACAACTTTGCTGCATTAGCACACCAGATATAATGGTCAGCCTGCACAGATGTCTCTGCACCCATCCCCACCCCTTTCTTCACCACTACTGTCCCACTAACTGTTAGATATAGCCAGAATATATATATATATATATATATATATATATATATATATATATATATAATCTAACTGTTAGATATAGCCAGAATATATATATATATATATATATATATATATATATATATATATATATATAATGTATGTATGTATGTATGTATATGAATCTAGGAACCTTCATCTGTGAGGAGTTGTGTTGACAGAACCCAGATAAACTGAAACGCTGGTCCTCCGAGGGCTAAAAACACCACAGCACAGATCGGTTACCCTGGATTTCTGTGCTGTATTGCTATTTCTTAATAGCAAATGTGTCTCTTCCTTCTTCAGAGGATGTGATATTATACAGGGGAGTGGGTAGTAGCAGTATTTTTTAAGAGTCTAACCTTACAAGCCTCTAATAATGCATCCTGTATATGCAGATATCCTGTCCAGTCTCAACTCCCCTGCCCTGTTTGGGGATCAGGATACAGTGATGAAAGCTATTCAGGAGGCTCGGAAGATGCGAGAACAGATCCAGCGGGAGCAACAGCAGCAACAGCCACATGGTGTTGATGGGAAACTGTCTACCATGAATAATATGGGGCTGAACAACTGCAGGAATGAAAAGGTAAAACTTGCTTGCCTCCTTCTCTGGCTCTGCTAGACCCATTAACTCATTTTTATCTGGCTCTTTCTAGGCTCCCAAGCATCAAACTGCAGCCAAAGATTTGGGGTCCTAGCTTGAGGGCTTTCTTGCATCACACTTAATCATTAGTGCTGATTAACAAATACGCCCTTTCCCACTTAGTGTGGGTCACCTCCCAGGTACCCACCCAGGCACCCAACCTACCTGCCTATTGGTGTTTATCTGTCCCATTCCAAAAGATTTAGAAATATCTTATAATAAAGGGGCTGTATGAGGTTACAAGACTATCAGAATATTAAAAAAGGAAGAAGCATATATGCTCACAATGAAGGCTAATACATTACCATGACTCATCATTCAGTTTATTACTAAGCTTCCTATCTGCCTGAGCAAAATAGAAAACAAAGCAACTTACAAAATGCATTCATTTATTTTTTGATTCAACAAATTATTTATCGAGTGCTTATTCTGTATTAGACACTGTTCTAGGCACCGGAGATACAACAGTGAACAAATCAGACAAAAATCTCTGTTCTTATAGAGCTTACATTCTAATAGGGGAACACAGGTGAGGAAAAAATAAACAGTTAAATACATAACGAGTAATGTCAGTAACATCAGGAGGTGACTCAATGCCATGAGAAAAATGGAAGCAAGTTAAGGGAATAGGGAGTTATAAGATTGTTCTTTTAGATAGGTTGGTAGGGACTCTGCGGAAGTGTTACGGAGTAGAGAGATCTGAAGGAACCCCTGTGCAGGCCACATGAAGAGCATCCAGGCAGTGGGAACAATAAGCTTAGAAGCTCTTAGAGTGTAGGACCAGCAACAAGGAGGCCAGCGTGGCAAGAGCAGCTTGAGGGAAGGGAGAGCAGTGGGACGTGAAGTAAAGTGATAGCCTGGGGTAGAGTGTGTTAGACCTGTAGGCCTTGGAAAGGCTTTGTGTTTCACTCTGAGTCCTATGGGAATTCCTAGACTGGTTTTGTCCGGGGCATTGACATGATCTGATTTACATATAAAAGGATCATTCTGCCTAATGTGCAAGAACAGACTACAGGAGGTTAAGAATGGAAATAGGCAGACCAGTTGAGAGGCTATTGGCATACGCCGGGTGAAAAATTCTGATTATTTGATGAATGAATGATCCTTGCCATTCCTTGGCTTGTCTCTGCATCACTCCAGTTTCTTCCTCCCTCTTCACATGGCTATCTTCCCTCTGTGTATGTCCCCCTGTCTCCAAATCTCCCTCTTCTTATAAGGACATCAGTCATTGGATTTAGGGTCCACCCTAATCCAGTGTGACCTTATTTTAACTTGACTATATCTGCAAAGACCCTATTTCCTATAGATAAATAGACAGATTATATAAATATATAATATGTTAAATTAATCATTATTTGCCTCCTTCCTCCTCCACCTTGATTGATCCTCTTGGCGGGAGGTTCACATCAGGTAAGAGAGAAACTGTCTGGGGGAATGGTGGGTCTTTTGATGTTGGTTAAGCCATAAACTTTTATATATTGGGGACCTGCTATACACATGCCAGTCACCGGATCTGCTCAATCACTTAGGTGCCCCCCTCCCCATTAAGTGCTCCATCCTTGGCAATGGGCTCACAAACCAGAGCCCCTCTTTAAGAACTGCCTCAGTAGATGGTTACATATACAGTAAGGTTTCAGGACCACAAGAAAAGAAAAGCCTTGCCCCCATACCTTTTCTACCACTCTGATACTAGAGATAAACACAGTTAATCTTTTGACCTAAGACACTATACTATGCTCAGTGAGCACCATGAAATAGTAACATATTTAATCTTAATGTGAATAACTGTAAGATATTTTTTGGGGACCTAGATAGGTAAACACATTTTGGCACAGGGATACTGGGTGGGAAATTGGGTTAAAAGCAAGAGAATGGGTACATGCACCAGAGACCATCTCCGACCTTATAGTTTTGTCAATGGTTAATCCTAAAATAATATGAGAAGGATGTTAGTGATTTGTTTACCTGAGTCTTTTAAAATGTATCAGTTTTCAAATGACAGTAGTATATGCTTACTGAAAATTCTAATAATACAGACAGATACATGGTCAAAAGCTAATTACCCTCCTCACCCCATTAACTATCATAATGATTCAGAAGTTTTCTTTGCATATGCAAGAAAGTATTAATGAGTTTAAAACTATATATTCTCACTTGGAATGGTAGACAACGAGTTGTCACTTACCAGCTGTGTGATATTTGGTAAGTTGAATAACTTCTCTGAATCTCAAGTTCTTCATCTGTAATGTGAGGGTAGTAATCTGGGTTATAATGAAATAAGATATATATGAATATACCTAGCAAAGCTCCTGGTACAGAGTAGGCACTTTCTTATGTTTCCCATAACTTGTAGACTAAACTGTGGGTGATCTTTGAATAAATAGAACAAATGTACTATTTTGTCACAGATATGAGCTCCTCACATAATAATGGAAGGGTCAGCAGAAGGAAACAGTTAGATTTTTCAAAAGTTGGCATATTGACCAACTCACATAGTTAAACTCCTTTCTAACAGAGTTGATGCACAAAACTATGGCAACTTCAGATTTATTAGGTTAGATCACGGTTTCTCAGCCTCAGCATTATTGGTGTTTTTGGCTGGAGAATTCTTTGTCATGGGTGGCTAATCTGGCCTCTACTCATTAGATGCCAGTAGTAGCACCACTCCTTTTGTGACGACCGAAAATGTCTCCAGACATTGCTAAATGTCCCCTATTGGGGGAGGGAGGACAAAATTACCCCTAGTTGAAAAATCACTGGGCTAAATAAATATATTTAGAATTAATACATTTCAGAAACTTTATTCCACCAAAAAACAAGTTATTTTATTTAAATAATCATACTTGTTTTTTAATTATGAAGAATCATTTGCCTTTGATTAATGTTATGAATGAGATATTTCTTTGAAAAATGCATCTAGAAATTTTTGTTTGGAATATTAACAGAGAGAATATTTAAAACAGAATGTGTATATGCCATTTAGCTTGGGGGGAAAATAAGAAATAAATTCCATATTGTTACAGCAACTGTGCCTTTCAGTGAAGCCCCCCCCCCACCCCGTCACATTAAGCAGGCTTAGACTAGCGGCATCCTGATACGTTTGCGCTAAACCTAGGAGTAAATTGACACTGGACATCCCTTGCTTCCTGCAGTGACTCTCTCTGTTTGTTTGACACAGTGACCCTATATGGTTGAATTTATATCATCCGTTGAAGTTCAAGCTTAGGACTCTATTAACTTCAAATACTACAGGTTAATTTTAAGTATTTCTCATTGACTTTTTAAAATTCATATGGAGGAAAGAAGTCTGAGGCTCCAGAATAATAACACCTGATTTTGTGTTGGAAGCCATGAGAGAGAGATGAGAAATTAGGTTAAGGTTGAAAAATAATAATAATGAATCTTAACTTGTCCTAAAACATATCACACTGAATGTAATTGAGCTTCTGAAGATAAGTGGCAAAGTGGTTTCTACAGAATCAGAAAACCCTGGTTTCCCAGTTGAAGGGAGTTGTTGTCTCAGTAGATGACTTTATTGGGGTTGAATTTGGGGCACCGGAAAAGTCCATTATATTCAGGGATGTTGTGCTCACAAGCTCTCCTTTACATGATCTCCCTCCCAAATAATGTCGCTCTTTTGAATGTATATTTGTGGATGTGTAGGCTTTGTTTAGTTTCTAGACCCAGTATGTATCTATCCTTGTTTGCTAGGTTTGTTGCAGCCAGAAGAGTAAATTAAGAACGATGTTAAAGGGCTCCTGTGATAGTTGATTTGGCTCTCTTATAATCAAAATATCCATCTTAATTTTATGAGATTTCAGAAGACACTACCTTTTCTTCTGAGAATCATATTTTCTTCTGAGATCAAAGAGGGTAAATATATAATGTGCAATAAGATTGGTAAAATGGATTGTGGCAAATTCAGTTTAACTGTCTTCAAAATTGTCCTCTATGTAATTACCTCAGTTTCCTTAAATGTAAAGATCCATAAATTAGATTTCTGAATTTATTCTTGTAAACCATAATACAGTTTTAGAGATTTTTTCTCAGTGTTTCTGTCATAACACCTTGTAATTTATAAAGCATATAAAGCATACACTCATATTTGGACATTTTTTTACAAATGAGCATGTCACAGATTTGAGTTCCCTGAGAAGCAGACTGTGAGATGGAGATTAACGAGCAGGTTTATTGGGGGGGTACTCTTTCTGATTGCCACCTATAGAAGGGAAAGGATGAAAGCAGAATAGGACTGTGATGCAGTCTTTACCAAAGCCTTAGCCAACCTCATATGAAGCTTTGAGATGGCCATGGCCATGCAGAATTGTCCCAAGTTGGATGGAGGGGGTGAACTTTTATACACTTGTATCAACCAGTCATTGGATGAGGGTTACCCTGGGAAGGGGACATAACCTTAGGTGATGTGACTCTCTTTAGTTGAGGCAGTGCCGAAGAGGGCCAAGAGCTGAAGGTGAGCAACAACGTTGCCTGCAGCTGAGGAAATAAATCAGTCCTGAAGGGGTATCAGGGCAATGCATCACAATGTCCACTGTAGAGTTGTTTTTGTGACATTTACTAACGTTAGATGTATATAAAACATGCTTTGTATGTTTCATAACTGAGGGGAAACATTTGCTACACAGGCATAGGGGTGCTTGTGTCTTTATGACACACACAGAATCACATATATGTCCATATGAATACATGTTTACCCATGGCGTATTTCACTTTATTGGGTAAACCCCTATTTTGACACTTTAAAATGAAACATTGTTGACTTGATCAGCCAGAACGGCACCAATGGAGTTGTTCTGGTTGGCTGTGTCACAGGATATTTAGGGTCTGTTAAATATATAGATTGTAGGGACGATAGACTGTAACGGCGCCTTAGGAACTGTTATGCTCCATCATTTCAACACAGCTGCTGTGCATGGATCATGAGT